CACACACACACACACACACACACACACACACACACACTCATAAACAGGTATTTCAGTGTTCTTCAGCAGTGTTTTACTATAGTATGAAAGGCAAAAATATAAAGGGAAATCCTTGGTATGCACACCTCACTGTTTGTTTTGCGTCCAGCCATACTTTCATACACTCCTTCAGCAGCAGAACGGCCATGTGACTGTCATTGAAAACAGAAATAGAGCTTTCTTTGAAATTGTCCAATCTGTTGTTCCTCTGAATGTAACGGAGTACAGGGTTTTCCCTGATCTATTACAGTACTGCTGCTGAACTCACACGCGAGGACTGTTTCCTGTGCATCGTCACGTACTGACCTTCCTCTGCTTCATGCACAGACTGGAAGAATCCTAAAAGAGCAGGTGCATAGAAACATCATCATACTGTGAAAATAATACAGTGACTTCACATATGTTCACAGAACTATAGATGCAAGTAAACAACTTACTTTTTTTGCAAAACCTAGCCAGTTTCAGTGCCAAGTAAATGACTATGATCAGGAGAATCTCCAAAATCACAGGCAACAGAAATAAAACAGCTGTCCTAAAATACAACAGAATAGCGAAAGGATTTTATCTTCTGAATAACTGCCTACATACTTCAAACACAGCATCACGTCAAAGTGAATAGTTCTGGAAAGCTGCAAATTCTCAAATGGACATAAATGGTTTAAAGGAACATTTCACACAAAAATTATCATTCTATCATCATTTACTCTCTCTCATGTCGTTCCAAACCTGTATGTCCTTATTTCTTCTGAAGAACACGAAAGCAGATATTCTGACAAATGTTCACGCTGCTCTTTTTCTTAAAACAAATGCATTAAATCAAAATAGTATCCAAAAAGGAACCATAAAAGCAGCCCACATAACTTGTAATAATGACCTTTTCCTCACACTGAAGTCATTATATGAGCTCAGAAGACTTTTATTTTGACACCATATGGCCACTATATGCTTTCATTATATGGTAAAGAGCGGCTTGGACATGATCAATAATATCAAAAATAAATAAGAAAGATCAAAATAAATAAATAATAAAATGTAAAAATAAATCAAGTAAAGCACTCACTAAAAAAAGATTCATATTTTATTTGTTTTCCTGCATGTCATGTGAGCATTACCTGACTTCAGAGAGCCGTGAACATGAAAATGTGAAATATTAACTTGCTATCTCAGTGGGAATTTAAGTATGTATTTTAGGTCAAAAGGCTGAAAAGTTTTGCCCTGAAGAAAGACAGTCGTGTGAGTTTGGACCAGCATGAGTGTGAGTAAATGAGCCGTTATATTAAAGGATCGTCACCGTTTGCGAGCGCTGGCTGAGATCTGATCAGACTCTGCTGTAACCGGACTCTTTCTGCTCTTCTTCTGATGGACAGTGATATGAACAGGCATCTGCAGCTCTTCTGTCGAGCAGCAGTACCATCCCGTGTGCTCCTTCTTCAGTCGGCTCATGCTCACAGTCGTGTTTCTCAGACCGTATCTGATCTCAACCGAGGCTCCGTCTAACCTCCCAGACGCTCCTGTAATGCACTGACCTCCAAACTTACACCATTTTACACCATATTGTCCTCCCTGATGGTAGCAGCTGATGGTAACGCTGCCATTCTCAGATCCCGTCACATGCTGAGAGTTCACGTGAAGTCTCGGAGAGTCTAGAAATTGCATAGAAAACATCAGTTTGACACTCAGTTAGCAGTGTGTTAAAGGAATAGCTGAAAATGTGCTCAGCTGTTTGGACTCTCATTCTGACGGCACCCATTCACTGCAGAGCAAGTGATGCAATGCTGCATTTCTCCAAATCTGATGAAGAAACAAACTCAGCTACATTCTAGAATGACCACACTTTCATTTTTGGCTGAAGTATTCCTTTAAGAATAATACCATTTCTGTCATTTACCCTCGCGTTTATGAGTTTGTACAGATTCAGCTTGACATCAGAGAGCTTCAGATAACTGTATGATGGTCTCACCTGCTGCGACGTCCAAGAAAAACCCTGCCCGTTTATCAAAAGCTGAAGGAATATGAATGGCACACCAGTAATAGCCAGACTCCTGGACGTTATCCATGCGGACGGTGAAGATGTGATCTTTCGTGTCATCTGAGATAAACACTGATTTGTAATGACAACTCTGGTCTGAGAGCTCCACATAATCACTCGATAGCCAAACGCTCAAGTATTTGCATGAAAATGCATATTTCTGATGATATAAACAAGGAATTATGACAGACTGTCCTCTCCGAACAGATACCTGCCTGACCGTAGTGATGTCCTGCGCACCTTCAAAAAATAAATATTGTATATTAAAATAATGGATTGATTAATCCAAAATCTGTGGCTTTTTATGCATTTTAACACATTTAATTTCATATTTATTAAAAATATATAATATTCATAAACATATTAAAATAACAATTTGATCCAAAAACAGTGTCAAATATTTTATATATTTAATAAAAATGTTACCTTTAAAAAAAAATAATAATCCTGAAACATTGTTTTTTTTAAATCCCAGATTTTCAATTTAGTCTCTGACTTTTGTTCCCTACGGTTTACTCTTTATAAATTCAGTAGTCTTGCAGCTTTGCATAAACATGACAATCTTAAGATTATTCAACAGTACGGATGCTTGCCAGACAGCAGCACAGATCTGTAGTTGGTCTCACCTGAGAGTCTGATGAAGCTGCAGATGAAGAGAAGACAGTTCAGATCCATGGCTGGGTCACTGTGAAGATGTTCGATGGGAACGCATGTGAAATCTGCTCTTTTCTCATCTCTAGTTCCTGTTTTTCTGCAGCTCTGGCCTGACTCACCCTCCCGCACGCAGCGCCACAGAGTATTGCAAGAGTATTTGTGTTTAGTGTGACAAAACTGCTTATTTATTTATAACAGATTTAAGTCAGGTGAAACCACTATGACAGATTCCCTCTAAAGCAATAATGAAAACAGCATTAACACTGACAGAGACAGACCGACCGATGGCTTTTTGTCTATAAAGTCTTTTCAGGAATTACAAAAAAAAAGAAAAGAAGAAATAAGCACTATGTTTACACCCCCAGTTTTCCACTTGATGAAAACAAAGCCTCAGAGCTCTGGACGACTCTCACCGGAGCCATCATGAGCTCAAGCACAAACTGAGACACAGCAGACAGACAGACTGGGTTACATGTCAAAGAAACAGTTCACCGAAAAAAAATACAATTTCTGTCACTATTTGCTCACGTCTGTATGCATGCTATCTTTTTTGTATGTAGAACACAATACAGTTATGTTAAAATTAAAATTCCGGGTACAATCATTATTTTCCAGATCCTTCATTGGATTTGATACAAAAAATTATTCAGGTATAACAGTAAAAACCTTTAACATTACTTCTCATATGTTACAAAAATAGTATTTTTAACACTGTATTTAACAACTTTTGTTTTCACAAAATATGACTATTATAAACAGTATTTCTTTTTTTATTTGAAATGCTTTTTTTGTTTTGTTTTGTTTTGTGCGTGCTTTCCTGAAGCTCAAATAATCGAGCATGGCACTAGCAACGCCACACTCTTAAAAATAAACGTCCTCTACTGGCATCGATGGGTCCGTGAAGAAACTTTAGCATCCATTGAATCTTTCCATTCCACAAAAGGTTCTTTATAAAAAGGTTCTGACTGAAGACTGTTTGCTAAAAGGTTCTTTGCGGAGCTAAAAATGGAATGAAATTAGCATCTCGAAATAAACATGTGATTTATATTGCAATATACAAACTCTGTACACACAACTCAGGGTGTTGAACCTTCGTGGGCATGTTCATGTCCCTAAATGAGAAACAGTCACACAACTTCAAAAAAAATTTTAAAAAGGGGGTGAAATTGACCTACAACATTATATAAGGTTTTAAAAAAAAGATTATTCATATTACTTATTTTTCCAATCACAGAGTCAAACTGAATAAAACTAATGCTATCGGTTTACTTGAGTTACACACATCTGATTTTATAAAACTCTGATTAACACAAACAAACATTATAAAAACCCTAAGACTGTTTATATATTTCACTTTTTCACTTTTCTGACCATAGATGCATATATGTTTTTATTATCGGTTGCAGTCAACTACCACAAGAACACAACAAAACAAGACAAAACAAAACAAAAATACAGTTAGACATATTAATATTATATTATTATATTACATATTATATTAACCCATATTAATATATTGTAAGAGAGATATAAAATCCATATTAAAATAAATGAATAACTGAAAGTACCTGAGTGTTTTATTTAATTCCAGTCATGGTTTCATAGAGATCTTCACATGCAACCTCATTGTTTTTCCCATTTCCCTATGAAAATACATATATAAATTAATAATAACAACAACTGTTTATAGTGCAAGTATGTGAATGCTACAAATGCAAGCAAAAAAAAAAAAAGTACCTGAGTGTTTTGTTTAATTCCAGTCATGATTTCATAGAGATTTTCACACGCAACCTCCCTGTTTTTCCCAGTTCCCTATAAAAATGAAATTAATAATATTAATACTAACAGTAGTGGTGAACAGTGATCAAAAGCGGACAGTATTGTGAATGTGAGAGCTGTGCTTCACCTACTTTGGGCAGTTGTTGTTTGCTCATGCCTTCATGAAGATTTGAGCTTTCAGCTCTTTGTTCTGCAGATACACACACATGTAATACTGTACATACGCTGTCATTGCTTTGTCTTACTAATCAAATCATGAAATCACGTACTTCTCTTGTTCCTTGCTTTGATCAGCATCACAGCTCCGCAGACTGTAATAATGGGCAGCATCGCTCCCAGAATGAGCAGCCACAGCAACCGCCTGAAGTCCAGTCATGCAATAAGAACGAATGAAAGCTTGATCAGATGAGGTCAGTCCACTGCTAACGAGTGCTCTGATTAAATGAACACAATCGCTTACCTGTCTGCACTGAGTGGTGGTGTGCTCTCAGAGGGGTTAGTTGTAAACTGTGTAATATCTAGGGCCTCCATCACAGTAACATGAACAGGCATCTGTGAATCCTCATTAGAGCAGTAGTACCATCCACTGTCCTCTGTCTTCAGCTGCCACAGCGTCACTCTCAGAGCATCAGCATCATCACACATCACTGCAGTTCTCTCTAGAGATCCTCCATCTCTCCCAACACAAGATCCCCTGATCCTACACCAGTGTGAAGCGCCGCGACAGCGGATGGTGACGTTACCACCCTCATAACCTGACACAGTCTGACTGGAGACACGGAGCCCTGCTTCAGCTAGACATGTGAGAGAAAAGGTCAGAGACAAAGTCTATTTCTTTTCTGCTTTTGCACATTCTGGAATCTGAGAGGAAAACTTTGGTTTATAATGCTGCACAGAATCAATGATACCTTCTGTAACCTGCAGGTAAAGATGTGCGTGTGGATCAGATCCAGACACGGTAACAGCACACCAGTACGTGCCAGAGTCCCTCACTTCAGCTTCTCTCAGTGTCGCCGTAAACACATTTTCTGCTTGATTATCCACAACAGACATTCTGCTGTGCGATACGTAATGACTGAAGATCCAAACACCTCCAGAGCTCATGTATTTTGGGTAATTGGCGTATTTCTGAACATATAAACACGGGACTGTGATCGTTTGTTGTTTTTGAACAGATATTTTACTGACTGTATGGATCTCCTGAGTTCCTGTGAAAGAAAAAATAAATATTAAAATCAACAATAAAATAAATAATTCCACTAAAGATCTTATTAAAGCATATCATTAAAGGAATAGGTTACCTAAAAATGAAAACGATTTGTAGGAATGTATCATCCCATCACTTGCTCACCAATAGATCCTCTGCAGTGAATGGGTGCCGTCAGAACATCTGATTAAAACATCACAATAATCTACAAGTAATCAAGGCATTTTAACTTAGCTAAAATATGAGTCCTCTATTCATATTGCTTTCTCCATTGAAAAAAAGTAATTTAGTCTGAATCAGGAGAGAGATATGCACAGATTGAGCACCGTTTGCAAGCATATAGGCCTCAGTCAGTCTCAAGAGACCATGGATCACGCCGGATGAAGATCGCATGTGTCTCTGCTTGAAAAGGGTGTACATGGACGAGACCCAGCTCTCTCGAGGACGATGCAATTGCAACAGAGGCAACGCAAGTGAAAGGTGTTGAACCTACTTTCTTGTCGAGCATGCAGGGTCCATGACTCACTGCTGTAGAGGACCGTGCTCACCACACAAGCCTTGTAGACATGGACTTTGGTGTGCTGTCGTCAGCTTATCATTTGTCCATATTCTCTTTGTCAGTCTGGACATGGTTGTGGTAGACTTCCCAATGCGCCTGTTTAGCTCAGTGTCAAGAGAGAGCGAGTCAGAAATAGAGGATCCCAGGTACAAAGACTCGTGTACAATGTCAAGTTTGTAGTTGGAGATTAAGATGCTGGTTGGAGGATTTATGTTTTGTCCCACGACTTGCATTTTCTTTAGGTTGATGGTGAGCCAAAACTCTTGGCATGCCTTGCTGAAGCAGTTCCTCAACTGCTGCAGATCCTCAGCAGAATGTGTGGTGACAGCTGCATCATCGGCAAACTGAAGGTATATTAAACACCTAATCTGGACTTTGTTCTTTGCTCTTAGTCTGGAAAGTTTAAAGAGCTTTCTATCTGATCTTGTGCAAAAGTAGATCCCTTCAGTAGCAGACCCAAAAGCGTGCTTCAGCAAGACGGTGAAAAAAATACCAAACAATGTGGGAGCTAGAACACATCCCTGTTTCACTCCACCTCATATATCAAAAGCCTCAGAGATTGAGCCGTCAAAGACAACAGTTCCCTTCATGTTGTTGTGGAAAGACTTGATGATACTTACGTTCCAAGTGCCTAGCTTTAAGCTTGCATGACTTATCTTCTTTCTTTTTCCTGTTGCCTGTAGTTATCGATCCGCTTGTCAGGTTTTCACCCTAAAACCAACGCACCCAGCTTTGCGGACCGTGGTGAGGTAGCAACCAACTCCAGCTTGAGCCGGGCGTTGCTACCCAATGAGATGCAATTATCTCTCCCACTGTCGGAAGCAACCCCTGGCGTCTTGCTCTATGC